GAAAGGAAATCCTGTGGAGAAGAGGCCAGTAATACCCACCCATTGATTGAGGAACAGCTGCCACTGATGGGGCACCCGGAGGTAGACAAGGGGTGGCAAAGCATTGCTGTCATGACCAAGATCTCCACTCAGACTCGGATGGAGGCAGCTCATGATTCTGGGAATAGTGGCAACTCCCAGACCACTGGCCCTGCTTCTAGCCCTACCCATAGCCATTGTGTGGGACAGCAACCCTAACCCAAATTAAACTCAGAGACTTCTCAAGGGGGAAAGCAAAGGTTACCTTTATTACAATCTGGGGAGATGGCTGTCTGCTCCTTGGATACATATGGAGAGAGAGAGAGAGAGAGAGAGAGAGAGAGAGAGAGAGAGAGAGAGAGAGAGAGAGAGAGAGAGAGAGAGAGAGAGAATAACAGGGGCCACCTTATAAAAGCAAATCTCCACCATGCGAAGTCTTCACCTACCACTATCCCTTACCCCCTAACTGGGGGTGGGCTTACATTTTAAGCTCGAAAAGTTTCTTCCTATCCCCTTAACTGGGAGGTGGGGCTTACATTCCGGGCCCAAAATTTAAAGACAAGGAAAGAGTTGGGAAGCCAAGGGCAAACGCTCAGGTTGGGGGTGGGCCAGGACTTATTCTTTCTGTTACGTGCTTAAAAACAGGATCTGAGTGGGGGAGGATTTTGAAAATAATAATCAAATATTATTGACCTTTTGAGGAGGCTTCACCTCTGAGAGTTCATCTCTCACACCATTATCAGGGGGGAGGAAGAAAACAAGCAGGCATTTGATAAGTGCTTACCATGTGTCAGGCATTGTGCTCAGCACTTTACAGACATCCTCACAGCAAGCCTGGAAAGTCGATACTGTTATTATCCCCATTTTACAATCGGGTAACCAATGCAAATAGAGGTTAAGTGAGTTGCCCAGAGTCACGAAGCCAGGAAGTGTCTGAGGCCAAATTTGAGCTCAGTCTTTTGACTCCTGGTCCAGTGTTGTAGCTGTTATACTATCTAGCAGGGGAGAAGGAATCCAACATCCTTGCCAATGCCATTGTTTCACCAAATGCCACTGACAGTACCTTCCCTCCCCACCTACACTTGCTCTGCTTCCAGCCCAGCTCCAACAGTCATTATCCTGATGGCTATTTCAGCCCCTTGCCTTCTCAGCAGCTTAGCTACTGAAGACCTGGAAAAGAAAGTTCTCACTCTCAGAGTTCCTGACAGAGTATGAATATGCTTTTTATCATTGAAAATGACATTAAAAAGATATATTATTATCTTTTTTGCTGCTTTACCATAAGAACCATGGGGCTTTCTTACCGCTTTGCAGTGGAAACCCCTCAATTGCATGGTCTCTTCCATTAGAATGTGAGCTTTTTGAGAGCAATAAATGCCTTACTTTTCCTTTTGTATCCCCAGCCCTTACCATGTACTTTGCACATGGTAAATACCGAATGAAAGCTTTTCATTCATTTATGGAGTCTAGAGCAAATTTAAGTTATTGTGGTTTTACAAAGTCTAATTGTTTTAATTTGTTAGACAAGAAAGTTAATTTTTTTTTTTGCTTTTTTTTTTGGTGAGGCAATTGGCGTTAAGTGACTTGCCCAGGGTCACACAGCTAGTATCTTGTGTCTGAGACTGGATTTGAACTCACATCCTCTTGACTCCAAAGCCAGGGCTCTATCCACTGCGCCACCTAGCTGCCCCAGACAAGAAGTTAATTGCCAGCAATTCTAACTAATGGCTGATCGAGTCTACTTGTGGTATAGCTAGCCATTTCCCATGTTGCTTCCTTAAATGTCAGAAGCAAACCAGAGGTGACCAAGTCAGAAATAACCTATGTAGCTTTAATTCTCATGGCTTCACAGTGAGAAATAAAACGAGCAACTTGGTATTAAACTGTAGAGATGTGATTATTTCAGGATTTGCTAAGAGAATGGTATTGAGGCCTGATAGAAATGTTGCAGAATTTGTTTGAGTAACCAAAATAGGAAAATTTACCAACTTTCAGAAGAGATCATATGCCAAACCATTGACATTCAGGCTGAGTAAATTATATAGGAACAACTGAAACTATCTGGAAAGAGTCCCAGGCAGAATGGTAGCTGGCACTGACTGGTGAACTCTAGACCCATTTCTGTCTGACAGTTTTTATTTTTATTTTTTTTCAGGAATCTCACATCTCCTGAGATAGACATCCCTCCCTTTTTTCTCTCTTTATTACATACGAAAAATGATCCTGGGTTAGGACTGGAGCATTACTGTTCACAGTCCACATCATTGCATGATAAAATTGAAAAGTATTGGATATGGAAAATCCTTTTAATCTCTCTGAGTATTAGTTTTTTCCTCAAAAAAAATCAGCTTTGAATCCCAGCTCTTCACTGCTTGCCTCAGAGGACTGTTAAAAAGAATTGCAGTGAAGTACGTTAAAATGTTTTATAACCATAAATTGCTATAAAAATGTAAGTTGAGGTGGTATAGTGATTGGAAAATTGGACTTGGAATCTTGAAGACCTAAGTTCAGATTTTGCTTTAGACACTGCACAGTCTTGGGCAAGTCATTTAATCTCTTTGTACCTCAGTTTCCTCATTTGTCAAATTGATCTGTAATACCATTTACTTTATAGGGTTCTTGTAAAACTCGTATGAGATAATATTTGTAAAGTACTTTGTATACCTTAAAGTGATAAATAACAGCTAACTTTTATTATTATTTTTATTGCTGGTGTTTTTGTTGTTGGTGGTGGTGGTCCATAGTTTTTAAACCTGGGCCATTAGGTTCCAGACAGCAAATAAAGGTACTGACTTAACACTAACGAATCAGTGAAACAAAATTTTGTTTTTCAGACATCCCTATGATAAAAGAAAAAGAAGAAAAACCTATGTGAAAAAAGAGAATTTGTCCTTTTGTGAGGACTTTCCGTCCTAGCTTAGGAATTTACTATAGACATTGTTGATTTGAAGTGAAAGGAGCTAGAGGTAGTGTGGGACAATGGAAGGAGGACTGGATTGGGAGTTAGACTCCAGTTTGGTCAGTTCACTTATTTGGACCTTATTTTTATCAGTTGTAAAATGAAGGCATTGGACTAAATTATCTCTAAGCTTTTTTTAATCTCTAAACCTATGATCTATGATCTAAGATTCAGATCTTGACTTATTTCCTGTGTGACTTTGGACAAGTCAGTTCTCTCGGGGCCTTAGCTTTCTGTCAAGTTCTTTTTTGTTGTTGTTTGCTCATTTTTCTAGCCTGTTTTTTGACTTTGAACTTTGTGTTAAAGTTGGTCTCTGCTCACCTGATGTGGGAAGGCACTATCTCAAGCTTCAGGCTCTTTTGTGCTGCTATTTTCAGAGTCGTTATCCAGGTCTGCAAGTTTTTGGTGCTTCCAAGGTGGTGTGAACCTGGGAGAAATATGGTCACTGCCATTCTGGTCTGTGCTGTGGTCTTTACTCAGGAAGGGTCCCTGGTTTCCTGCAGCCACAAGTGCTTGTACTTATCCCAGTGATCAGGGCCCTTGTGCCCTTGTGACCAACCATTAACACTTTTCTCCACCCTGGAACTGTGATCTAGAACTGTGTATGCTCAGTAAAGTTGCCAGTCATCACCAGCTGTACCCAGTGCCAGCGAAGGCTCCCCTATAATCTCTTTTTTACTAGTTGTCTGACCCCCTTACCATCTCTGGGCTGAGAGCTCCCAAAAGCTGCTGTTGGTGTTGCTGCATATGTAGGCTCCAGACAGGCCTTTATCCTGGTGCCACAGACTTCTGTTGACCCCTTTAAGTTTTCTTAGGCCAGAAAAATGTCTCAACCTTGACTTTTTGTTGGCTCTGCTACTCCAAAATTTGATTTGAAGTGTTATTTTAAAGTTGTTTAGAGGAGAATGTTTGGAGAGTTAATCTGGGTGGCTATCCCTAATCCACTGTCATTGTTTTGATGGTTTGACTTATTACTTTTCCTTCTTCTGCTCTCTCAATTTAGTGCTGAATGACATGTTTTAAAAAATAATACAAATCAATTTTGCCTTTAGAATTTTAAAATAATTTGGTGACAGGCCTTTGAAATAATTTGCAATAACCTGGGCTACAGTGGGAATGGAGAATCACTGTCCTCTGTGTTTATTAAATGTTTACTAACCTTTAATGTATGCTAACTGCATGTGGTTGGTCACTTTGCGTTGATGCCAGTCCTTTCCTCAGGATCTTCTAGTAACTTCCTGATGTGCCAATCAGGTCTGCGTTTTTACTTGACTGCTTCCGTTTCCATCCTTGGACTGTTCTGCTGTGTTCACAGGCAAATTTGTCCATGATCTCCTTTGCTTAATCAGTTCTTGTTTTCAGGTTTGAACTTTCTGGAAGAATTTTGTACTAGTCTTATCCTGAGAACAAGTAGACTGAAATAATTTACTGCATTGTCAGGTTTTTAACACTTAAGTTTTCATTAACAGCTTTGGGAGAAATGGATGAAGTTCCAAATTCTGGAATGGCAGTGTTATTATTCTCTCATAAAGCATAGAAAATTCTTATGAATACAGTTTTTAGTTCAGTAGCCAGTCTAAGTCCATGGGTGTAGTTCTTTGATTTCTTCCATCACATCCATGTGGTGCTTTGGGAAGATGGGTACCTGCTATTGTGCTGTGCTTGATGTGGAAATCTGATGTTTTGGAAACTTTGAGGCATCACACCTGGTGGGATTCTTACTGAGCAGGAAGATTGGTTTTCCTATTTTTGTGTTTACATCATCTTTGGGTTCAGTCAAGTCTTATTTTATCAAGTTAGTGAGTTATACAGCCCTACGCACAACCAAAAGGGTGCTAAAGCATCACTAGATGTTGGCAATGCTTTGTTTTAGGATAAATGTCTAACTAGGTGCTGTTTGTATCTAAAAAGGAAAAGAGTCCTTTTCTTTTGGTCCTTGATTCCACAGTGATTCCACAAGCATTCCTTTTGCAAAACTTAGAGTTTTGTAGTATGGAGGCATTTTGGCATCTAGCAGATTGAACTGTGGATACCCTCTGGATCTACCTTGACCTTGTTGCAAGACAAGTGGACTTGCCATCTATCTTGACTTCTCTCTCCTTAAATCATGGCATCCATTATGAATGGGTCCAGAGAGAGATGGAGAAATTCCTTTTATCCAGTAGCCATTGGGGTGACAGTTGGAGCAGTGCTGCATACCCCTCTTTGTCCCATGGAGACAGTGGAGAACTCCATCAAAACCCAGCCCTATCTTTGTTTGGCCTCCAGTTCAAGCAAAGTTCTTTTCATGGTCAAGAACAGATTTCAGAGACTTTGAGGAAGATGGATACTGACTATAATAAAGGTGAATTGTAAAAATGGAACTTATTAATGAGTCATTAACTGTAATTAGACTGAGTAATCAGCTCGGAGCATAATGGGGATTTTTGTCATTCTTATGGTAGTCTTTTTGCATTGGGTGTCAGATTAAGGAGCTAGAACTCGTATTATGAGAAATACCTTTAGATAACCAGGGTTGACCAGGCCTACTGTAATCAAACTATTGGCAATGTCCAGTGCTAAGTTCAAAGTGGGTAGGTGGACCAGGCAGCCTGAACTTAGTTTTTCTCTTCTGTTGTCCAGGTGCACCTAAGATTGAAGTTGAATGAGATACTTATACAACACTCCCTCTACCAAAGTGAAAGTTATTTCTTCCTTAATGCTGTTTTTATGGTTCTTTCATTGAAAATTGACCCTTGTCAGTTCGTTCACTCACAAAGGTGGCTGTACTGGGCAGCAATTAGATTTTTCTTGCTAAAATACAAAGGATGGGTATAAATTTTTACACTCATCCCAGATCTGTGACTTAATTTTCATATGTTTTCCATTCTGGAAGCAGAGTTGCTGTGTAAAAAGGATCTGGCAGTGTGGAGCCATAGATTTTAACCAGGGTTAGAGTGTGTGTGAAGGCTATTATAAGAGTCTTTTCCGAGAATGGTGGAATAGGAATCCTGGCTTATACTTAATGCTGATGATTGCATTTCTCACTTTATGAAGTAGATATATATTCCTAACGTTTGTATAAGTTAAATCATTTTATTGGAGCTGTTTAATGGAACACCATACTGAACCTTTTTTTTTTTTTAACAGAAACTTTAGTTGCAAATAATGCTTTTCTTGTTTATCTACTTTGCAAGTTTGAATTTTCATCTCAGTCCAAACTTACACAGATCTATAATCTCATGGAAATGAGTCCTCCCATCAGTGGTACAGATTACAACCCACCCATGCTTTTTCATGTGGTATAATTCCAGTGCATGTCTGACTATAATTACACCACAAAAGGTCCACGCAATATGCCGGGGACTTTCTTAACATGACTTGGATAACAGGACAACATGTAGGCTGTCTTTGTCACTGCCTCTTCCTGGATGACAGACTCCCCTCTTTTTCTAGTCATATATCATTTTGGTATCTTTTATGCTTTTGTGTGCAGTTTCTCGGTAATAAGCTGCAGCCATTTTCACTATGCATTGCTCATTTGCCCTTCCACTGAATCTTGAGTTTGATTCCTTGAAGGCTGTGGCACTCAATTTGTACCCATAAAGCATCACTAGAAGAATATCAATGTTAAAAAGGCAAATTTTTGTTTCACTGAGAAGCTCAGAGTGATTGAAAATTCTATGTGTGACTTTATTTTTTCAGTGCAATTTGGTCTGCTTTATCTTATTCAGTTTTGGGCTCATTTATCTATCTAAGGTGTATGAACATATTACTAGGTTTATAGATTGTCCATTCAGATCCGTATCAGATGTTGACATATAAGCAAAAATTATCATGGTAGTTCTGCTTATACTTATGACATTGCAAAATGAGATGACCCCATGTCCCGTTTTTCTTGGTTTGGGGCACTCAAATCAACTCTGCCAACTCTCTTATTTGCCTTTTTAAAGTGAACTGATGGGGTATGGGCCCAAGCTGAGACCTTTGCCCCTCACTTTAAAAAGAATTTGGGTCCCATTTTTCTACAGACCCTGGAAAACCCTTGAACTTTCCTTGAATCCACTTACTTGGTCAAGGAAGTCTCAAGCTGTTGCCTGAGGCTGTAAAAGGCCACTCAACTGGCCTTTTCATGCCTGGACCCAGTCTCCCAATTCTTTGTTAACCCTTTGTTAAGCTTAGTCTTCCATTGTCTATTCTCAGATGGCCCATTCAACCTCCCAGGCACTCCCAATGAGATTCTCCCAGGTCCCTCCCCCAGTCACCCCAGCTTCAAGATCCTCCCTAAACTCCTCCCCTGGCCACTCCTATCAAGACACTCCTTCTTCCAGCCCCTCTTCTGATCACCCCAAACTACTTGGCCACTCCTAGATCCCTCCCATAGTCTTTCTGTACATATAGGCTTGAGACTTACTTCCTCATGCCCTCTTCTCCTTAGGAGCATCACAGATATTCAGATTCCTTAAGAATCTAGCTTATATGTCTCATCTTTAATAAGCCTTGTCTTTGATTGAAGGAAGACTTGGGTCAAATTCTTTATGGTAGGACCTGTGTGTTGTGATTTTTGGGATCCCCGTACCCCTAAACTCTAGATTTCAACAGAACCTATAAATCATTTTTTCATTTACCTGCAACTTCTTATACCTTTTGGTCACATGTATAGTGAGTATCAGTATTTATATAATTCAGTTCATCTAGTAATGTGTTCACTCAGAGAGAAGGATTTTACATTTAGAGCATGAATATTTAATGGTTGTAGACATTCCAAAAACTGTGATTCTTAGGATCCTGTCCCTTTTCCCACTACTCTGCTTTAATTACTGTGATTTGCACAAACTGAGAGTGATTTTGAAATTTTATCACTTTGTGGCCAGCATGTTGGTGGTGAATCTTTCTTTAATTAGCTAGGCTTGTCCTTGGACAATAGGGCCAGTCTTTGCTGAAAGTGACTCAAGACCTTTTCCGTTATCACACAACTCTTGTAGAGATCTTTTGTAGTTCATTGGCATAGCTTTCAAGAATCCGTGGTCACTTCCATGATAAGGTTTTATTTTGTGGTGGATCAGTCAGCGAATTGTTACTGAGTACTTGGAGTGTGTTGAGCTCTCTCTGCTGGGCAGAGACACTGTGCTAGACGCTATTGGGGAGCACTAAAGAAGTGGAAAAGACAACATGGTGTATTGAAAATAGCAGAAGACTGGGAGTCAGGCCTGGAGTTCCCTTTGGCTATCCTCATTTCACTGTAAAAATAAATATTTGTATGTTGGATTTTTTTTCCTCTTCAAATGAACTGAAACTTGGCTTCCCTCCTGGTGATAATGTATGACTCCAATCATTATCTTTCCATCTCCTACATGTGGTCAAGAGAGAAGATAACATATTTTTTGCTTTCTATTTCTAGACTGTTTTTTCTGTCACCATTCTTCAAAGAAACTTCTTTGCAGTTCTTCAGAGTGATTATTCCACCAGTTGCTTTCCATTCTTGTAGTCATTTGTTGACTTCTAGGATATCCTTTCTAGTGACTTTAGCACCTGGCTCACAAGTCTTCATTTCTACTTTGTCCTCTGCTATTCAGTGACTTTAAAATTCTTCTTGTTGATTATTCCAACACTCTTACCTCATGGTTTCTCAGTCACTATAAATCTTTGACTGTGTCCTACTTGAGTTACATCTTAAAAATCACTATCCTTTGAAATCACCTCTTCCAACACCTTGAATTCTGAAATTTCCTTCCTTGTTCGTAATCTCCTGTCTTTCCAGCTCTCTTAATTCGTATTGAGCCTACTCCTCGGTCTTCTCTTAGACCTGTTGTTCCTTGCCCCCTTCTAGTTCTCCATTTCTGTTCTTTTGTTATTTTTATCCTTTGCCCCAACTAACTCAGTTATTTTAATGATATGCTTGCATTGTTTATTTTCATTTTATATGCTCACAAATGTTTCTCCAGTAGTTCAAACAAGTGCTATGGAATTTGAATTTTGGTAATGAGCCATATATTTGAATTGAATTGAATTGAATTGAATTCCACTTTTTGGAAATATAAGTTTTGCTTTAGGAAGAAAAAAGCACCTTGCTGAATTAGAAGTGTTTCTTTGGCTTTCTTAATTGGAATTGTATTCTTTGTTTTGTCTGCAGGTGACTCCTTCTCACAGTTTCGTTTTGCAGAGGAAAAAGAATGGGATACTGAAGTTTCATCTCCTAAACAAGTAGGTTGCCTTTTTCTCTTCATGCAATGTTAATATATCCAAGAGTACTTATTTGTTTAACTTGATTCTTCATGTTGAAATAATTACTAATATTAATTTAATGCCTTAAGGTATACAACCCACTTTCTTCACAACAATACAAGTATTATATCAATTGTATAGATGAGAAAACAGGTGCAATTGGTTGTGACTTGTCCAGAGCTTGAATTCAAACCCAGGTCTCCCAGTTCTATCTCCAGTATTCTTTTCTACTGTATCTTGCTGCCCAAGTAATGGAAAAGTACAGATTACTTCATTAACCCTGCTACTTCAGACAAAAGTATACCTTTTAGAAGTACTTGAATTATTTGGACCACTAAAACAAAAAACCTCTATTATTTGCATAATTCAGAAGGGTGGATCTGATCTCAAAAAAGTTTGGATTGAGGCATGTGAGTGGCTCTCCTTCCAAATACTTTAATGTCTTTTTTTCCTGTAATATTTTAAGGCAATGCTGGAATAAAATAATTCAGTAGCTTAAAATACACTCCATCTCTTCTTTTGCCTATGGTCTATAAAGAGACTTATGACATAATGTTAACACAAAATGCTATTAATGTTTTTCAATGAATGGTCCCAATACCTAATGTGTTATAATAATTCTAATAGTGTTGTGTTTTTTTCCTATACTGAATTTTTCTTTCAGAGAGCTCCAATAATTTGTCAAATAGGATTTTACCAAACCTCACAATATAGGTTGTTAACAGGTATTCTTCGGTATCTCAGTAATGGCTACATGGTAAATTATCAGGGGGTGCTTATCTCCTACTTCTTTCTAGGGCTAGACTGATAATTAGTCATAGAATTTTCTAAGAGCCTTAGAAGGATTGTATTGGTTCACTCAACAGAGGGGGCCCTAAATTCCAGCTCTACCATGCTGCAATGATGACCTGTCATATAGGCAGGGAAAAATCGATTGTGGAAATGATCACTCAGCACTTTGCATAAAGAAAATACCATATCTGGTGTAGGGGGGGATGATGATGAATTATTTGGCAATGGCAAGCCGTGAAACAAAGAAAAATGTCTATCGTAAAAATGTGCTTCTGCAGTTATAGAGACAGAGGAACATAATATAGGGCAGAAGCTGCTAAAAATCAGTTTTTAGATCATCTGCAAACTGAAACGCACCAAATGAAATTGATTATATTTTAACAGATAGAAAAAGGAAAGGGTAGTTACCAATGTGCAAATCATTTTTATCAAGCACCAAAACTCTGTGGATCTTGGGTAGCTTTCAACTGTGTTTAACTGAGGACTTACTTCTATTACCTGTTACCAAGGAACTAAAAAAAAATGGCAAGATTATCTCTAAGCATTGATAGACATTGACTGAGACTATCAAGAATGGCTTGAATTCTTTAAAAAAAATTATACTATCCACTAGTTGGTTGATTTAGATAAATCGATAAATCAATTAATTAACAGATGTAAATGATGACATATACTCTGTTCACTACTTAACAATCTTCTGCTGTCCCACTTTCTGTCCTTAATTTCCTCATGTATCTGGATTCTGTTTGTACTGGTCTGTCTGTTCTCTTGCCCCCTGAACCTGACCCACATTATCCTACCTCTGGACCTTTGCTCATAGTATTCAGTGTGCTGAGAATATATCGTCCCTCTCTCTCTTCCCTTCTTGAATTCTTATGCTTCTTTTCAAGCCCAGCTCAGATACCGCCACTTCCATGAAGCTTTTCCTGATCTTCTTGGTTAGCAAAGACCTCTCCTTTGATTCTCACATAGACTTTGTAATGCAGTTTGTAATGTGTTTGTCCTATATATAATATCGTGTATTATAGTTGCCATTGTCCATTATTTCCACATTGGTGTGTAAGTTTCATGAGGATACAGCTGTGTCTTATCTAACTTTGAACCAATTTTTCTACCATTTAACATAGTATGCTATACCTAATAGGCACTTACTAAGCATTTGTGGAATTAATATGAACAATAATTCCAGAAAAATTTGGACTGTATCTTCAGTGACTCATAAGTACTGACTATGAAACTGAAGGATGTTGAGCATATGAAATCTTATGACTCTGAAAGAGAAAAGGAGATATGAGAAATGTACATTTGACTATATACTATATGGTTAAATATGTAGTGTGTGTGTGTGTGTATATATATATATATGTATATATATATTTATTTATTATATATGCTATATAGTATATATAGTACATACTATATACACTATATACTTTATGCTTAAAAAATAAGATTAGATTTTTAGGATTTGATGTATAATGTCAATAGTGATGGCTTCTTGGCAAGAGATTGAGTACATTTCACAAAAATTTGGAGGATATGTTTCACAGGTAGACTGGCCACCTTGAACATCATATTTCAGGTACCCTCTGTAGCCACCGACTTCTCCACAGGGTTGACCTTGCCAGGGCCTACCTCCCTGAGCAGCTGATGTTCAATGGGACAACCAGGTCAGCTCCAGCTGAGGCCAAATACAAAAGGCTAATGATAATCTATCTGAAGGTATTCATGGTATACCCTCCTCCAACTGATTCTAAACTTCCAATTGTCAAAGTTCAAATCCTATTTTCTATCTCCCACTCCCTTTTCCCTTATTCCTATCCCCATTAATCCAGCCCCTCAGACTTCCCATTCTAAAGCTCTCCAATTCTCCTACTGTGTTCTCTAGAATGGCTGTTCTACAGGTAATAGATTTACTTTCATCTTAAACCTTTTCATTTCTTGTTCCTTTCATCTTCTTGCACTCACTGAAACATCCTGAAACTAGCTGCTTCCTGATAACACAGCTTCCCTGGCTAACCTTTCCAGCTCAGATTGCACTTTCACTCATAGTCACCCTCCCTCTGCCCTCATTGGGTTACTCATTAACCTCTCCTTCTTTGAATTTCATTCAATTTGTATTTATCACCCAGTCAAGATTCTGGTGGCTGTTGTCTAATGACCTCCAGAACACTTTCCTTCCTTCCTCAGTGACTCACAGTCTTTTTCTCCTTCTCAATTCCTGCTGTCATACTAGGGGACTTCAGCATACCTATTGATACTGCCTCCAACACTCCCACTTCTCAACTTACTCAGTTCCCATGACCTATTCCTCTATCCCACCACAGCTACACAGAGATAATCATACTTTTTTGATCTTGCCATATCTCACAGGTGTTCCATAAATTCTGAAATTCCTTTATCTGATCGTGAGCTGTTGTTATTCCTTCTCTCCTTCTACTTTGCAACTCTAAACCTTGTCTTTGTCCTTGCCTCTTTATTCTATCAAAAATTTTGCTCTGCCAAACTCCAGCCTTGAATTATTCCACCATCTTTTGCCATGGCTCCTACTCATGGTCTGTTGAATTAGGCTGGAGAAAATCACAAAAACATGCTATGTCCACTAAAAATTTGTTACGTAATCTCAACTGGGGCCTGAATGCAGAAAGGCAGTCCTGGTGCATCTCCCTAATCAAGCCATGATCCCACCTACCAGAATGGTTTTCCTAAACCTTTTAATCCCTCCTCAAACTTCCTATAGTTCTCGCTCCCCCCACTTTCTCAGTTGAGAGGCTTGCCTCATATTTCATTGAAAAACTTGAGGCCATTGGCTAGGATCTCTCTCTTCTTCCTTCTTCATCCCACATCACTCAGATGGCCTTCTGAAATTTTTTTCCTTTGTCCCGTTATACATAAGGAGGTGGTCCTTCGCCTTGCCAAGGCAAACCTCTATACGTGAAGAGATGAGCCCATTCCATTCCTTCTTCTCCAACAGATTGTACCCTCTGTCATCCTAATTCTCTTACTGTCTCTTACAGTCTTGCTTCAGTCTCCTCCTCTGTAGTGACTGCTCTGTCCAAAGATACCAATGATCTTTTATTTGCCAAATCTAATGGCCTTTTTTCCAGTCCTCCTTCTTTCTGACCATTCTGCAGCCTTTGAAAATGTAGCTCTTCTCCCTGATACTGTCTTCTCTCTAGTTCTTCCCCAGTTCTCTATCCACCTGACTGCTCCTTTTCAGTCTCCTTTGTCGAATCTTCCACCAAAATATACCTTCTAACTATAGGCATATTGCCTAACTATCTTGTGCCCTCTTTTCTCCTTGTATATTATTTTTCTTGGTGACTTCATCAGCTTTCATGGATTCGGTTATTATCTCTTTGCAGACAATTCTCAGATCTGTTTGTCCAATCCTAACCTCTCTCTTGACCTCTGAGAGTCTTTCATCTCTCACTGCTGCCTTTTGGACAATCCTCCCATCTTCCTAACTTCTTTATTACTGTCAAGGGTACTACCATTCTTCTAGTCACCCAGGCTTGCAGACATTCTCAACACCTCACTGTCTCTCACCTCCATATCCAACCAGTTGTCAAGTCCCATTATATGCATCCCCTTCTCTCCTTTGACCCTGCTCCTGCTCTGGTGCAGGCCCTTATCACTTCAAGCTTGGTCTGTTTCAGTAGATTTTTGGTTGGTCTCCCCACCTCTCACTATTCCCATTTACACTCCACTCAGCTGTCAAATTGATCTTCCTAAAGTACAGATGTAAACATATCACTTCTCCCTAAACCCCCCATTTAGTAAACTGCATTAATTCCCTACCTTCAGGACCAAATGAAAAAAAAAATACTCCCTTTCAGTTTTAAAACCCATGTTTGTGTTTTAAAGCCCTTCAACCTGGCCATTTCCTACCTTTCAAGGTCTTCTTACAACTTACTCCTGTCTACATACTTGGTCACCAAGTGATCCTAGCTTCCTTGCTGTTCTTGCACCATGACATTCTGTCTCTAGACTTTAGGCATTTCACTGGCTGTCCCCTAGGTCTGGAATTCTCCCACTCCTCATCTCTGCTTTTGACTTCCCTGGCTTCTCAAGTCTCAGGTAAGGCTTCTGTAAGAAGTCTTTTCCAGTCCTCCTTAATCTTAGTGCCTTCTCTCTGAGATTGCCCCCAACTTTTTCTGTATATATTTTGTTCATACACATTTGTTTGTATCTTTTTTCCTAATTTTAAGTATGAACTCTGTGAGAGCAGGAGGTTGGCTTTTTTTTTTTTGTCTTTCTTTGTATTCTCCAGCACTTAGCATTGTGCCTTGCACATAGCTGGCACTTAAATGCTTGTTGAACAAGAAGGCTTTAAACTGAAATTTCAGCAGAGGAAGAAGATGCCCAGAGAGTAATGGATAGCATTTTATATAGCACTTTAACTTTGCAAACTGCTTTATATATGGCATATCATTTGATCCTCATAGCAGTCTTTGAAGTATGTTATCTCACAGATGATGAAATGGTGGCTAAGAGAGCTTAATGACTTGTCCAAGGTCATATAGCTGATAAATGTCTGAGGTAGGATTTTAATTCAGGTCTTCCAGGATTCCAAGTCTAGTAATCTATTCACTACATCACCTGCTTGCCTTTATCTATAAGAAAAAGATACTATGGAAGATAATAAGCATGGCACAATAAGAAGAATTATAATGGAGAAATTACCAAGTAATTCTCAGAAAAAATAACCAAAGAGATGGTTGGGATTTATGCTTTTGATATATCAACACAGAGTAGGAGTAATGAAATCAAATTTTGATTTTAATATTAGGAGATAAGTGATAAAGAAGAATTTTTCTAAGCACAGTATGTGCTGAGATAAGGACTGAAAACCCAAAGAAAAAACACAAATAGCCCTTGCTCTCAAGGAGCCTTATATTCTAATAAATGTTGTTGGTATCACTGAGACTTGGGTAGTCTAAGACACAGGAATGTATTGTCAAAGAACTGTATCACCTTATTCAAAAGGAATAGATCTCATAGGGAAGGTAGCATTGTTTCAAAGTATATACTGTTATGGAAATCTGTGAATCTGTGAAGCATGGTGGAAAGAGTTCAAGTGAGAATAAAAAAAGAGAAACAGGAGTGAGTATTATAGAAATGTGTTCTGTAGATCAAGGTTCCTTTTTTTTCCTTTTCTCTTCTCTCCTTGTCACCTCTCTACCATACAGGGGAAAAAAAGGCAAAAGAAAAACAAATTCTTTCTAATAAATATGTTTAGTAAAGCAAAACAAATTCCCTCATTAGCTATATACACACATATGCATTTATGTTTCTATGTGTATATATACGTATAGACATATATACACACATGCAATACGTGTGTGTATATACACACATGCATACACACACGTATATATATATGTTTTTATGTGGGAGTCTCATTCTGTACCTTATCACTTTCAATGTTGTTTGTCTTTAAGGTTTTGTTATTATATAAATTTTTTTCCTGCTTCTCTGCTCATTTCATTATTCATCATTTTATGTCTTCAAAATTGTTTGTTTCTATGATATTGATGTTTCAGGATAAATCATTCTTCTGGTTCTGCTTATGTAAGTCTTTCTGTCCCTTGGAAATCATCTATTCACAAATCTAGCAAGAAGTATAACATTTCCTCCCAAAACTGGGAGGGAATACTGTCCTTTATGCCACCTTTTGTCCCTGAAGAGAGCAGGCTCAAACTTAAAACAGTTTCTACATAGCACTTGGTTCTACTACGTTCATGTCCAAATGAGACATTAGTGACAGATGGGCCTATGTCTTAGCTATTCTTGGCCTAGGTCCTGAATGTCATTCCTCATTCCTCTTGGCCTCAAAGCTAGACCGGCTGGCTGAAAAATCCAGCATGGACTTGATTCTTTGACTTTAAAAAAAGTCATAGACTCCAGTATCCTTGACCTAAAATGAAAGAACAAATGCTGACACAAAGAACTGAGATTTGTCTCCATGGGCCACATGTTAGTCTTGGATGGAGAAGGCTTGAGGCCTTTTCCCGCAGCAGCGTATTTTCTCTTCTCTCACCTGAGCTCCATCAGCCAGAGTCAACTAAAGAGAAGGACAGGGTCACCTAGTGCCATTTGAATATACTCTAAGTTCCAGCTGTGCAGCCGCAGTGAATCATAGAAGCTCCTATTCACTATGTGATTAGCAGACTGGAACCAGTTACAGAATACCTATATGTGCTTCGAAATCCACATGGGATTTACATCAGTTGATCATTCTGCACATACTAATAAGGACTAGGCAGTCCCCCATTATATCTATTATGCCCTCTTGGCTTCATGCTAGCTCAGGATGAGATCTTGTTGTTCAGTCATTTCAGTTGTGTCTGACTCTTTATGACCCCATTTGGGATTTTCTTGGTAACGATACTAGAGTGGTTTGCCATTTCTTTCATCAGCTCAGATGAGGAAACTGAGGCAAACAAGGTTAAGTGACTTGCCCAGCAAGATTTGAATTCAGGTCTTCTTGACCCCACACCTGGAGCTCTATCCACTGTGCACCTAGCTGCCCATTATAGGTGCTTAAGAAATGTTGAATTGCATAGAGTATAAATTCTGCATTCTGAAGAAAAGAAATTGAGAGTAATTGGAAAGAGTCATAGAAGATAAACATCTAAGTGTAAACTATATTCTAGGGCTAGGCCCTGGGCTTGGCTCTGGGCCTACAAAGCAAAAACCAGAAACCAGTCCATACCTTCAAGAAGTTCACATTCTCCTAGGGAAATAAAACATGTAAGATAATTTGCAGATGAAGACAGTACTAATAACTGAGGGAATTGGGAAATGCTTTGAGTAGGAACTTGGTTCCTTAGTTGAACTTTGAAGACAACTTTCTCAAAACAGGAAATTAAATAAACACCACAGACCAGAAGTCATAACATCATATTAAAACATTTTTTGAGGGTTTCACTACAAAGAGCACAGTATATTTGGATGATAAAGACTGGGATGTGTGTAACCAGATTGCTTTATTTCTTGAATTCTCAATGCAAAGCTGGATGGGTGGATATAGGAAGTCTTATTCAGTGGACTGTTTGATATATTTGAAGGATATCCAGTTTTGCTTATGAGTGTATGGTATAGATGGCCTTTTAAAATTATTTAAATTCTCTTCAATGTTCTCTTTTCCTTTTTGCTTTTGTTCCTGTCCTCCTCCTTCTACACCCCAGAGATATAGGGATTTGGGGGGAACATAAAGAGAAAAGAGAGGTGAAATAGAAAAGAGAGTTGAGCAACTAGGCCCACTGAGATTCTTCAAATAAGGGATTCTTGACAGGAGGGAAATCTGAGCCAGGAGAAGGGGGTACAGTAGAGTCCCTATGATGCTTTCCACTTGAAAGAACTGTATTCCATGTGTAACGTGGGACCTTTGGACATGGATGCTTGGGGAGTCAAAGATTCAGTATCTTTCTTGGGATGACCATAAAAATATTATTGTATAACTTAAACCAGGAGCTTTCATACATTTCTAGAGGAAAATTTGTCTTAAAGAAGAAAAAAATGATTATTTTAAATTTACTCAAATTCTTTACACTCTTTTTTCATCCATTGAATATCTAAATGCTTGAATAGTATATTCTTAGCACTGTTCTGGGTATTATGTGGGATACAAAGATACATTATAGTTAGTCTTTACCCTTAAAGAGCTTACAGTCTAGGTGGCAAATATAAGACACATAAAAAAGTTAAATAACAATATGAATTAATGAGTGATATGACAACAGCATAAAAGATCTTCAAGGGTAGTATATGATAAGTGCCAAAGGAACACAACAGTGAGTAACTGCTGTGATTTCATAGGAAAGAGAAATCATGGTAGAACACTTCATGGAGGAGGTAGGATTTGAGTTGGGCCACATGGAGGAGTAGGATTCGGATAGGAGTGGGAAGGGTGTTCCAAGTGAGGGAAACTATGTGGACTAGAAACAAGCCTGATAGATACAGTGGCCTTATTTATCACATGTATGTTTTCATTGTAATTTTGATTTTGACCATTCTAACGTTTGTGGAAGATTTTTTATGGAAGGATAGGTTATAGGTTCTTTCTCAGTCCCAGTTGTCTGCCATCCAAATTCAGCTAATGGAAGTACATGTAACACTTGCTCAACAGACTGCTGTCTGTCCCCAACCAGGCCTCAGCACAACTTTATTTATAACAGCTGTCTCTGTGTCCCATGGGACTCTGAGGCTTGTATACTGAAAGGGAATCTGGATAAAAGGAGCTTCTGATTGACTTGATGAAGTTGTCATCTGGATTGTGATTGAGCCAGTGATGCCAGGAGATTCCTGTACAGCCAGGGACTTTGCCGGAACTTCCCCTGCTTTTTTTTTTAGTACTTTAGTATTTAGTACCCCTTCTCTTTTTAGCACTTTTATTTGCATCACCTTTAATAAAAGTTTTTTTTGCTCCCATTATGTGGTACTCATCATCTTGGTCCTGCCATAATTTGAACCTAGGTCGTCCAAGGTGACAATCATGAATTTTTGGGTAGTATAGAAAATAAGGAAGAATCTAAAACAAAATCACTCATGAGTGATTAATTTATATAGTTGCTTCCTGTTGCCTGCTTTCCTTTTATTTTCAGGAGGTTATTATTAATCCTCATATTCACTCTGCCATTTTGTGCTGCAGATCTCAGCCCTGTTTGTGGACTGTGAGTCGCTGGTCCAAGCCCTTCAAGAACTGCCTCTGTCACTCCGGCTGAATGTGGCTGCTGAGTTAGTCCAGGTAACACTCCTTCAAACACAAGAGAAAGGAGGCCCCATCTTCCCAGTTCTCCTGCCAAGAGTAAATGCCTCATGATATTGTTTTGGATCCACTTTTGCCATCTCTGATGCTTAATGCTTCATCAACAAGTTGTTGTATGCATCATAATTTATATTATCCAGAGGCTGAGGGGACAAGTGACTGTGATCCTTCCTGCACTACTCTTTTCTTTCCTTTATATTTGAAGCTCTGCAAAGAATATCATCTTTGCCCCTACAATGGGTTTTTGGGAATGGGGGAAGGACCACAGGGTTAGGAAGAAGAGAGTCACAGACTTTTTGACCTAAAAAGGCCTAAGAGTTCACTTTAGTCCAAAGAGAAGCAATTACCGGCTGGGAAGGTAGAAGCCAGAGCTGATAGGAATTGGAAGTCAGGCAAAAGACCGAGTGAAAAGACACATAGGGATATGCTGCAGCAGAGCTGCTTTTGTTTACAAGGGACCACATTTGTTACCCACTGAAGTACAACTACATGGCAAAGATGTTCCCTGAAACATAAAGGAAGTTGTTTATGTTCTTTGAAAACATGGGCTATTGCAATGGGGAAGGTATTAGAGTATATATATATAGCTTTGAGAACAGAACTTTAGAAATTTGGTAAAAAAAAAAGCTCTTAAAATAAATCTCATGGCACTTGAATAATGATCATTGTGATTGGTACAGTATCAGTGTGGGAACAGTTACATATGGAGAATTAAAACAAGGAGAACAGAGGCTGATTATGGCTTCTATTTGGAACACTGGCCAGCTCATCTTTGTATTATTCATTAAGTGTCCTGTATTCATTTTTCCAGTGACTTATTATGGGTGACATTCACTTTTTTTAATGACACAAAGATTTATGCATAAAGACATTATTGAGTAAACACAAATGTAGTAGATAGATTGTACTACCAAAGGTAGCTCTGGCTCTTCTTATGGAAATCTTGCAGAGTGCAAGCTGCAAACCCTTTCCCTTCTTCTGTAAGTTATTTGTAGAACCCCATTCAATCTGATTCAGTAGCTGAGGTGGGGGGAATGTTTGATGGATGTATGCAGGTTAGTGTAGAAAGCCTTGACTTGAGGGGAATGTTCAGTTCACATGAAAAAGATGTAGGATTTTTTGTTTTACTGCAAACCTGATATATGAGCCAGAGATATCAAATGGCTGCTGAAAACAACAGTAACCACACCAACCAGCCAACCACCTGGTGCTATCTTAGGCTACGTTAATTAAAGTGTGTGGCCAGGAAGGGGAAAGAGTGGTCTTGTGGAGGATTGTATTTCATTCTGGGCACCAAGTCTGAGGAATATACTAGAGCTGCCTCAGACAGGCATGAGTAAGAATGATTAATTGTTTTCTTATGACATAATTTCCAGAGACTAATTGCATGGGGATACTTAACTTGAAGAAGAGAAGATTTAGGTGGGACATGATATTTGTTTTCAAGTACCTGGAGGGCAGGTGGGCATGGGGAGGGGGCATTATGAATCTTATTCCTGTGGATCAGAGGGCAGAAGTAGGACCAGTTATAGGAAAACAGAATCTAGCTCAATTTAAGAAAGAATTGTCTGATTATCTAAAACTGCTAACTGTCCAAAAGCTGTCTAAAAGTGCAGTGGGCAGTTTTTTGAGACAGTGAACACTTACAGTGATGACTGTCTCACCGTGAGTTGGGAAGGTTTTACTAGATGAGCTTTCAGATCTCACATATCCTAATAAGATACCATAGGTATTAAATGAATCCTAAGGCATTTTTGCACATGGATTTGCATTTGCATTTGATTTCTCAAACCAGTTTTGACATTTAAATAGTCTCAGCCAATTTAAAAAGGAACCCAACTGTGTAGAAGAGTAGATGATGGGTATTCATAGTACTAGAGAAAACGTGGCTCCCCTCAATTGCTATTTTTACTGTACTATTTAGTCAGGAGAGGGAGGCAGCAGGCAGCCCCTCTTGTTGTGTTCCCACTTGCGAAATATAGGCTGGTTCTAGGTGGTTTTACGAATTCTCTCAGTCAACTCAGTTCTGTGCTTGGTTCTTAAGACTACAGCTCCTCTAGAGCTTCCCCAGCTGAAACCAAAGAAAATGGAAGATGGCAAGGGGCTGGGTATGCAGATGAGATGGCCCTTGGGGCCAGGCTCTGATGTGATCTCTGATGCTGCCAGCCATCCAGTGCTCCCGGGTAAAGATGGGCCTAGGCCAGGCTCTTCAGAAGCTTTTCAGAAAATCACTCCACCACTGCAGCAAACTGTCGACCACCTAGATGAAGAATTTGATCTGCTGCTAAATTTAGATGCTCCAGTAAAAGAGGAAGATAACACTCTAACAGCTCAGACATATCAAGGTCCCAAAACCAAAAAAGATGGGAAGATGGTCCAAGAGGAAAATGGTATGCCTTTGATTTTGTTTCTTCCTTCCTCTAGTCTTTTCTGATTCCTTTATTTTGGCTTATTAGTGCAAACAGGCAGGCTTGTCTTAATTCCATCTTGCATACATAGTCTTAATGGCATTTGACATTGATCCAGGGCTGTGTACTGATATCTATCTTTGTGCTTATATCTCTGCTTCACTCTGAGCTGACCTTTCTGAGAGCATCCTCCTCACTATAGAGATAGCCCAAATACTGTTGCAGACTTGATTATGATCTTCAGCCTAAGGCTTTAAATTAAACCCTTGATGCTTTAAAGTATGGTAGGATACATATAGCCCTAAGTCTATCCTTTTGCATCTAGTCTTTTTCAGCATCATGCCTTTTAGGTATGTACCTGAATGGACCCATCACCCACATTTCATCTTTAGAACATGCTACCAGTATCTTCTGGAAACTGTTCCCTTCCCCCTGTGCCACCTTCCCTGGCCTTTGCCATGGGCTTTTTGTGGACTTACACTTTTTATTTTGTGCATATAGCAGGTAAGAAAATAATTTGTTTTGGCTACAATGGAAATCAATGGGCAGACTCCTGGGGCAGTTTCCTCTTTTTCTATTGAATATCAGATACCTCATTAACTTCCAGTTTGCTATAAGGGAAAGGAATGATAATCTGGCTGTTGGTTCAATAATATGAGGACTTTGTGAACCTCAGTTTCAGAATTATATAAGTTTAGCTAATTTAGTCCTCATCTGCTTAGGTGTTCTATTTGGGGAGGGCAGGAATGATCTTTTATCAGTGAAAAATCAAATTTATTTATATATACATGGCATGAAAGGTACCAGAGAAGGCCAGCTTGTATCATGGAACAAACTGTTGGGAAGCCTTACCCATCCTCAGATAGAGATTAGTGAAATGTTATATTGTTTTTATTTCCCCAGTTCCTGAAAAACTCTCTGTGACTGAAGAAAAGAGTTTGGAATCTGAGCAACCACCATGTACATCCAAAAATGTTACTGAGGAAGAGCTTGAAGATTGGCTGGACAGCATGATTTCTTAAAGAAAAAAATGCTTGCAGAGCTGGAGCTGGGTGGATTAAAGAGAGACATGAATGAGGCAATAGCACACCCCCAGATCAGCATTCCAGCATGCTTATGGTAGTATGCCTCCCTCTGTATTTCAGACAACAATTGGCATAATAAATTACAGAGTTTCATTCCAATCATTCTTTCTGGCATAGAATTCTAATAACCCAACTTTCTTAAGCAAGTAGAATGCTGTCCCCCATCCCATGGGCTTCCCATCTGCTAAGAGTAAAATCCAGGTTCCATCTAGTCCCCGGTGTTTGTTTACAGCAATTAGGTGCTGCTGAATAACAGGATGTGACAAGAACAAGGTATGATTGGTACCTGTATGCATTTGGGAAAAATAAATTATAAATGCTGGTAAAACTATTTTTTCCCTCGGTCTGGGTGTTGGGTCTTTTCTGTCTCATGTCATTTCTCTCAGTTTTCATGTTATGGCTACAGGCAGAGTATATGATAAATTAGATGAGGCCATACTGAGCTTTGGTTTGTAACATTTTATTGCAGGGGGCACTTCGTTTTTATTTCAGGAGAAACGCCTAAATGTATCAGATTTACTACTTACAAAGGACCATGAAGCGTTACTTAATTTTGGCATGAGATTTAGATTTTCAGTTTCTGATACAGTACATTTCTTCTAATAACAGCTACTGGCCAGCTGCTATTGACAGAATCAGTTTCATACATTAAAATAGAAGAGCAGCACAACTAATTAATGAAACTTTCCATCTAAAACCTAACATAAAAAACTTGCATAGCTATGTCTACAGAAGTTTTAAGGCACTTAATCGATATTTCATTGTCGATAAAGTGTTGAGTTTTCTCTATTTCTTTAACTGTTAAAGCTTTTCAGGCTGTATCTGGATATATTCACTAGCAAGTACCATGGGGAAAATTGACCGTAGTTAAAACATTTTTTAAGTTCAGACCATGAGTAACAAATGGAGACATCGTCACTTGATATTCAAGTTCTTTTAAAGTTTCAGATATTGTGCATTTAAGACTAAAAATCTTCTTCAGCCCTTTTGACTGTTTCCAAACTCATAAAGAATGATGGGATTCAAAACCATGCCAGTAACCTATCTCTAGGTTTACAATTGGAAAGTAAATAAGTTTTTTGACATAGTTTCTTCTCTTCTTCAAATATGGATTTGTAAGTCTCACAGCAAAGGTCTGTTAGGCACAAAAAGCCTAGTCAATTTCCAAAGTCAGAGATTTATGACAGGTTCTTGATAAAGAAGTGTTTCTCAAACATCACTGCTGAAGTACTATACATGGGCGTGGTACAGAATTCCTTTTGTAGAGAGTTGACTGGTTATGTGGTACCTCCTTTTATCTCATCACACTTATCCAAGCTGATCTTCATATTGTTTACGAAAACAGTCACCAGCTGGAAAGAAATCCCAACATCTTTCTTGATACATCTTCCAGACGTAAGATTCCTGAAATAATTTGAACAAAGGATACCTGTTTTACATTCTTGTTCCGCATACATGCGTTCCATTACCCTCATTTTTCTCTCAGCTTTATTTTCTCTTTTCACTGTGGGTTAGACTTAGACATAGAATTTTGCCAGAATTGACATTCATAATGGGCAAACGGGGTCCTTCCACCTGTAACTTAGTTCTTATCAGTTCATTTTCATGGCACAAAGAGAGGTGCTAAGCTACACTGGCCCCCCCTTATACTCTATCCCCATCACATGTCCACATTGATGACTCCCATGACCTTAATTCTTCTCAGATGCCTCTACCCTACACGCCTATACATAGGTAAGAAACAAGCAAAAAGGTTCAGGAATGTGAAGTCAGATTTTACTTTTTGTGCCTACACTCACCATTAAGAATTATTCCTATTCCTTCTACAATCTAAAGTATCCCAGCTCTCCTACAAAGGCAGTTAGATGTTATGTGATGGCAGCCTGGACTGATGGGAGGGTATAACATTGAAACCTGTCAAGAAACCACTTATCTTATGCTGTGGTTTTAGCCCTTAAGTGTGGAGAAAACCCAGTTCCTTGTTTGTATATGTGCTAGTTTCCCATGGCTTCAGACATGGGTTTGTTTTGGTTTCTTCCCTTCACCTTCTCATGATTCTTCCTTCACACTTAGTCATAGATGATTCTGTGAAACATAACATTCTTTTCCTAGATACATTCGCGTCATATATATGCACCCGTATCTTTTCCCCCCTCTCATGTTCCAATTCTTCATATGTTCTCCTTTTCTTAACTGGAACCCCTCTGTGGTTATTGTTGATGTGATACAAATCTACTATTTCAAGCAAGGCCTAGCCATGTTTTATTCTCTTCCTGGTTATGGTAGGCACCTTGCCTTTGGGCCCATACCACTCTATTTTTTAGTTTTGGAACCGTAATCAAGTAAGTACTGCCATTTGTACTACAAAGGGTGTGCCAATTTGCTCCCCTATGATTCCACTCACTGAATAGATAGCTTTCTTTTTTCTTAATTTTAATTTTTATTATATAAATTTTATTATCTAAATATATAGTTATATTTATTATATAATAATATATAATAAATTAAATTTTATTTTTTCAGTTCCAAATTTTATCCTACCTCCTTCCCCACCCATTGAGAAGTCAAGAAAAACAAAACCCATTGCAAATATGTGTAGTCATGCAAAAGAAATTTTCACATTAGCTATGGCCAAAGAAAAATTTGTTTCAAACTGTACTCTTGAGTCCATCAGTCCTTTCTCGGGAAGTGGTCAGCATGTTTCATGATGAGTTCTTTGGAACTGTGGTTATTCACTGTGTTGTTATCCTTACAGTATTTACTGTATAAATTGTCCAATCACTCCAAACCAAAACTCCTCTACAGATTGCCTCCCCCATTGGAATGTCACTTCTTGAGTGTACTGTCTTGGCTCTTGTTTTTTGTATCCTAAAGCTTAGCACAATGGCTAACAAATAAGAAGCACTTTTATAAATACTTTCTTATTCATTCAATCCCTAAGTCTATCTCTTATGCTCTCATACAGTTTTACTCTGATTCTTTATCATATGATCCCCTTCCTGCTTGCTCTTCTCACCTCCGATCCTGGGGGACAGTTCTACCCCACTCTAGTTCTGCTACTGCTTCTTAAGGCTTACACGCAGAGACAGCAGATGAAGCTATTGAATACTGAAATGAATCTGACATTCCTTGCCAGAAGAAAGCATGGGTGAAGGATTAAGAAGTTAAATATGTGTGACACTTCTTATTTTAAGACCTTCACAGGTCTTGGTTTACAGACCCACCCACTTAAAGATAAAAATCAACAGAGGTATATTCACAAAGAGTTCATGATTCAAAGATGAGCTTAACCAGAGAGATAAATGATAAATGAACAACCAACCTTCATTTCTGTTTTAAGGGAACTGGGCAGTCTTTTCCCATTCCCAGGGAAGAAAGAGAAAGAGAGTGTGTGTGTGTGTGTGTGTGTGTGTGTGTCTGTACACACTTTCATTAGCCTAAGCAGACAATGTGATTGATGCTTAAAAACATAATTTCTCTCACCTGACCTGTGTGTTCTGTTTCATCTTTATTAATCAGATACATCAGAAAGAACCTGAAATAAGGATGAGAAAAGTAGAACAAAGGGAAATCAATAATCAGTTGAAATTCATGTTGCCAAGACATCAGTTAGCCTAAAACATTAAGAGAGACAGGCATCAGCAGTGTGTGTGTTTATATGTGTGTTTCAGCAGCAATCCAAAGTTGTCTTTACCTTCTTTTCATCCCTTTCACAACTAGGGTAAGGGACAGGAAGAGGTCACAAGCTCTAAGGACTCAAGAATTTATTTTCAAATGAAAAAAATTATTAAACCTCAAAAATCAGAGTACTCAGCTTTCTTTTGAGGAATAACTGCTTTCCATTTTCTAAAAAGCTAGAGACAATATGTGAAGTAGGAGATTGAAGCTCAGGATAAGGTAAGGAAGGAGATGGTTTATGACCATATTAACCAAACATCAGGATACTATAAAGACATTTCTTTCACAAAGCCTTGTTTAAAGGAGGACTCGGTGAGATCTCAGGCCTGAGGGCACCAGAACTAAGGAGGGAAGGAGCCTGTGCTTGCTCCATGTACAGGCTATCTTTTGGGTGTGAGTCTATCCTCTCCATCCTAGGATGCAGCTACAGAGTTAAAACTGAGTATTAGTTTAGTCTAGCTCTCAGGGGGATCGGCTCTTTTGGGAACTCACTTCCATTTGAAAGCCTTAGAAGAACAATCAGAGATCCCAACCCCAGGGAGACAAAGGCCTATGCTTTGGGGAACTCAGAGATTGGGAGGTACATATTTATTCCATATGGGAAATGGCTTCTGGTTACGTCTCATTATCCGTCATTTTGGAATGAAGCTTGCACTAAGTATGAGTTCAGTTTGGAAGATCTGAACATCATTTATTTACTGAACCAGATACTTAGAACGACCTACCACTATCATTTGGTTGTGAGTACCAGGCCTTAGAAGCTGAGGCCACCACCCCTCTATTTGTAGGGTAGGCATAGTCCCAGTTCCTGCTCCCACTTGTCTCTAACTTTGGGGTTCATGTCCATTCACTGAATTCCCCACTTCCTATCATAACCTCACTACTCCCCAGTACTTATCCTCCTCTGTTCTTTAGTTCCACTCTGCCCCCTAGAACCTCTACATGACTGTTGGTGAACTACCATTGATCCTAGATCTCTTCACTTCTTACTCTTCCATTTTCTGGCCCTGAAGGCAATTACTTTCTTAGGAAGACCCTGCATATCTGGACACCTTCTTCAGTGCTAGCTGCTCTTTCCCTTATTTCTTCTAAATGGCCATTTCAAACCCCTTTTCCTCTTCCAGCTCAGTCTTGGCATATTACCTTGTACTTTGCTAAGAACATATAGACCATTTGCCATTAGTTCTTCCTTCCATACTCTGTCTCAAAACAACATCTACTTTGCCCCAATTTGCTTTTCTTCAAATGGCCCTTGTCTTTATCATTCAGTTCTTCTGTTTGGCCACTTGATCCCCTCCCCATCTCATTTCTTCTGGGATCTTGCCCTTTTATCATTCCCTTTCTTCTTAGGTATTGAATGCTTTCTGGCTACCTGCCACTTTTCCCGGGTCTCCCTGTATATAAAACTGGGTTGGCCCTACCATTCCCTCAAATTATCATCCTATATGTCTTCACTTTATAGTCAAACTCCTAGAATAATTTACGTTTGTTTCCTGTATTGCTTTATTTCCCATTCACTTTCCAGTACTTTAAAATCTGGCTTCTGACCCTCCCTCTCTACTGATACTACTTTATTTCCTCTTTGGGTTTTCATGATATTGCTCTTTCCTGGTTCTCTCCTCCTAAAGGTCTGAGTGTTTCTTTTTGCTCTCCTTTCCTGGATC